CATCTAAATGGATAAACTCTCTAATCCAACTATGGCAAAGCAGGCTATAACATGCAAATACAGAAAGTGAAGGTAGAAGTTGTTGCAAAGGGAAAAGAAGGCCAAGGTCTTACACAGAAAATAATTTATTTTGAAATGAAATTGTCTCTAGGGTCTGGCCGACTGGCTTAGTTGGTTAAGAATGCGAACTCTGAGCAACAGGGTTGCCGGTTCAATTCCCACATGGACCAGTGAGGTGCGCTGCCGCTGAGCTGCCAACAGGTGGCAGGATGGCTCAACTGGTGAGGGCACATATTCCTAACAAGGTTACCGGTTCAAATCGCGCATGGGATGGTGGGCTACGCCCACCTGCAACTAAGATTAAACAGGGCACCTTGAGCTGAGCTGCCCTGAGCTGCCGGATGGCTCAGTGGTTAGAGCGTGCTCTCTTAGCAACAAGGTTTCTGGTTTGACTCCTGCATGGGACGGTGGGCTATGCCCACCCGCAGCTAAGATGGAACACGGTACCTTGAACTGAGCAGCCGCGAGCTACCGACAGGCGGCCAGATGGCGACTGGACTTGGAGCTGAGCTAGCTGCGCCCTCCACAACAAGATTAAAGGACAACAACTTGGCTGTTCCCCTTCCCCAATAAAATCTTTAAAAACAAAAAAGAAAAAAAGTTGTCTCTAGGCAATATGGATGGAAAATAAGTACCTTTTCCAGCAACACATTTCCCCAGGTCACTGAGGATTTCTCTCCGTTCCTTCACACTGGCTGTTGTCACCTTCCCTGCAAAACGCTTTAGTGTCTCAGAAACCTGTGAAGACCAAGCCCACAGAGAAAACGTCACCAGTCAGACTACAAAACAATGAGTGTGTATGTGCCGGGAAAAGGAGGTGCAGAATTCAGTGATGAGCTCTTGAACCCAGGGTTTGTCAACCTCCGCACTACTGACACTTAAGGGCAGAAAACGGTAGTGGGGGCTGTCTTTATAGATTAAAGAATTTGGGGGCCAGCCGAGTGGCACGTTGGTTAAGAGCTGGCTTGGGANAAGTTCCGGGACCCGATCTCCTCCTGGCAGTGGGTGCAGACGAAGTGCTCCGGGTGCCACGTCTTCCCCATGGCTGTCACGACCTGAGAGGGTAATTTAGAATGAGATAAGAGGATGTGGCTCAAGGCCTTGGCCTGCCATGGAGCACCCTTCCCCGGGGAGCAAAGGTCCCCGTGCCCACCTGCCACGCCCTCTTCCCCTGCCCCGCCCTCCCATCACCTGTCCAGCGATGGGCTTCTTGCAGGCCCCGCAGACCCCTTTGGCGACCGTGGCGACCCCCAGTTTGTTCAGGTCAGACTGCAGGCTCCCCAGCATGCTGTCTAGCTGACTCCCAGGCTTTGGGGGTCCCCCCGGGGGAGAGCTGCTCCCCGTCTTCCCCTGGGCCATGAACTGTAGAGACAGAGAGGGCAGGTCAGGACTTCCGGGGTTTGGGGGTGGCGTCTCACAGCATCGTGGCACTGGGGGCTTTTCTCCCTCCGGACAGATGGGCTGATGGAAGCAAGAAGTGCAACCTCCTCCAGGGGCCTTGAGAGCCCTAGAGGTGGGAGTGCCATCCGCAAGACATGCTGGCAGTCAGAGGGGCTCACGGCATCCCACCAGCCTGACCGAGGCCCGGGAAACATGGCAAGCAGGACACTGAGCCCCCAGCCTTGGCACTGACCCCTCCCTCGTCCTGCCCTTCGGGGCTGCTCTGCCTGCCGTTCGGAGGCCAGCCGGCCGCCAGCTCTCCATCCGCTCTTTGTTCCAGGCCCTGGATCTTAGATAGGGGAGGAAACGAGGGTAAGAAATTTTTTTTTTAATGAAGGTAAGAAATTTTTTTTTTTAATGAAGGAAGAAAAAGAGACCTTGTTATTGGACCCCTTCACAAAAGGGAATTTAGAATGAGATCAGAGGATTTATTTTCCCCGCCCCCACTGGCAGTACCAAAATCAGGAGAAAAAGTCTAGAGCAAAACAACCTGGAGAGAGAGGCCCAGGGAGAGAGGAGAGAGGTAGGTGAGCAAAGGCAGGGGACCCAGGAAGGAGAGGAGGCTGGGGCCAGAGAGCACAGGGGACTCCCAGGTGCTGGGCCTGGGGCTGCAGAGAGAGGAACAGGCATTGGTTTCCCTTCGGCTTCCTCAGCTGGCGCCTGAGGCAGGACTGAGGGGCAGTGGGAAAGGGCAGGCAGAAGGACGCCCCACAGGGAAGCGAGAGGACAGCTGATGTCTGGGGGGGGGGGGGGAGGTGCAGACATCAAGAGAAGTGAGGGCCCAGGGTCAAGGCAAGGTCCAAGGCAGGACTGTGGCACTGTGCTGGCGTGTGGCTGGAGGGAGGCCGGAGGTGTGTGTGCACACGTGTGCATGCATGTGCATGTGTGCAGAGCGGGGACGAGCAGGCTCGTGCTGGGGCCCCCGGGCCTGCCTGCATCGGGGGGAAGAGCGGGTCCTCGTCGGTCTGGCAGCCCACGGATCTCCAAGCATGGGGCACAGGAGAGGGAGGGGCGGGGCCCTGTGCATCCTCTTGCCGTGGCCCTGCCCCAGCTCTCTGGACCTCAGGGGAACCACGGGGGACTGCTGAGGGCCCCCGAGTGGAAGGAGTAGGCAGGCTGGGTGGGGGAGGAGAGTTGCTGGCCGAGGCGTCTCTGTGATGCTGGAGCAAAGGGACAGGAGGAGGAGGAGAAGGCAGAACAGAGAAGGTTCTTCTCAGGGGAATGGGAGAGCCGGGAGGGAAGACAACCTGGGGAGAAGAAAGGAAGGAGAGAGATAAAGAGGAAGATGGAGGAAACACAAGCTCAGCAAGCAGGGGCTGGGAGAGGTGGTGTCGCCAGGCTCCCCCAGGCCTTCTCGCTCTGATACTAAGAGTGAGGCCAGCCTTCCAGGGCCACAGGATACAGGACACCTGCCCCCGCCCCCCAACACACACACCCAATCTCCCCTCCGGCCAGCGCTGGGGGAGAATCGGGAGGCCTGCTGCCCTGACCCTGGCCTGGCCCTGGGCATCTCCCCACTACCTTCTCTACCAGCTGCCCCCCAGCCCGCCTCCCTCGCGGCTGCACAGTGATGACGACGCCCTCGGTCATCCAGTCCTCGGTGGAGGCCCCCGCTGCCCCTGCTGCCTCCTCTGCCTCCGGCTGGATGCCCAGCCGACCCTGCAGCTCTGCGATGAGCCGCTCCTGAGATGGGGTCCTGCTCAGGGTGGCAGGGTCCAGCCGGCGGCGAGGGGAGGGCTCCCGGGACATGGGGTGCGCATGGCCCGTCTCCCGGCTCCTCCTGATCACGGAGCGGATCTGAGGGGGGAGGGGGAAGCTGTCACAGTCCCACTCTGGGCTCGGCCAGTGCTGCTCAGTCCACACTCAGGTGCCCCAGGGAGGGAAGGGCAGGACAAAACCACCAGAGAAGAGCCAAGCTGAGGTGCGGTGGAGACAGGGGGCAGAGCAGACTCCCTGCACCCGGCACTCATCTCCAAGTCGGCAATGACCTTGGGCAAGACACTTCACTTCCAGGGGCCTCAGCCTGTCCATCCTTGAAATGAGGTTATAGTATTTTCTTGGCTGCCTTACAGGGTTATTATGAGTATTCTTTGAGAGGATGTAAGTGGACATTCTTGAAAGGGCATAAGGCTTTTTCTTTCTTTTTTTGATTTGTAATAAAAAAAGCAGTCTTTCCTTCCAAACCTTTTAACCAGTTTTTCATGTTTATGTGATAACCTCCTGGTTTGTAGTAGTTTTGGTTGTTTGTTTTGGTTTTGGAAAGGGTATGAAGTTTTAATCAAGCAAGAAGCAAATGATAATAACAGTAGCAAATAATAATAATAGTAACATCAGCCACAGCTTCTTGAGGACCGTGTGCTGTGCTCTAAGCACGTTCCAGGTATTACCTCATTTAATCCTCTGGACAACCTTGGGGGGGGGGATGGTCTATTATTACCCCCATTTCAAAGACGAGAAAACTGAGGCTGATGGGGTGTTGCCCAAGGTCACACAGGTAGCAAGTGCTGGAGTCAGGTTTTGTATTCAGTTCTACCTGGTCCCAAAGCCCATGCTTTTAACCATTTCGCACACATCACCTCAGGATGTTGGGGGAGCTCATCTACAGAGAAAAGCCTTAAACAAGCAAGAGGTGGGTTGTCACTAAAGAGAAATTCCCGGGCCCAGGGAGCTCCGCTGGCCCCATGGAGCCCACTGCCGAGTGCTGGTCAGGGCACAGGCCACAGAATCTTGGGATTGGCTGCCCAAGCAGACATGCGCGGAATGGGAGGCTGCATGCGGTTAGCCAGGAGTGGCCCACACTCAGGCCCGCCGGGGGCCATGCCCAGGAGCCGTGCGAGCTTGCGCCTGCCTGGCCAGAGGTGGAAATCCTCTCGGTGGCGTAGGGTGTGTCCATGACTGTGGCATGTGGAAGGTCCAGCTGTTCCCTCTTGGCCTCAGCAGCAGCTTCGGTGGTGCTCTCTGGCCTCCTGGGGGTCTCGGGTCCCTGGGTTGGCCCGACTGGGCTTCCCCTTGTGGATGTCTGTCCACCTAACTGCTCCTTGTCAAGGGGGGCAGAGCAGTTGCTCTCCAGCCCCGCTGGCTCTGGCCTTGCCCTCTCCTTCCGCTGTCCACGTTCCTTCGTGAGGCTCCAGGTATCTGGGAAGATGGCCTGACGGTCCACAGCCACAACAGCTGGCTCGGTTAATTTCTGGAAGCTGGGCGTAGCTCCGCGGGGAGTCTCAGGCCTGACCGTCTCCAAAGCCCACGGCTGCTCCCATGTAGCAGCCATGGCCTCCTCTGGGTGCACAGGGTTGGCCGACAGCCCTTGGGGGTCTCTAGGCTCCTGGGAACCTACACACCCAGCTCCGGGTAGAGTGTGGCTGGGGGGAGCCCTGGAGCCCTCACTTGTGAGGCTTGGTAGACCTCTCCACACTCGAGCCTGACTCTCTGTACCACATGGCCCCCGAGAATCCTCCACAGAGGGAAACCCTGAGTTGGGGGTGTCAGGTGTTACTCTGAGGCCAGCAGTCGCCCTGAGGCCAGCCAAATTAAGCCAGCTGGGGGCCACAGCTGGTAAAAGGCCCTGTCCATTATCATTATCCTCAACACAGAGAACCTCCTGGGTGTGACCGTGGCCTCCAGGGGAGGGCTTAGTCATGGATGGCAAGAAAACAGAGGGCCCAGGAGCAGAGGGAGGAGGAGGAGGAGGAGGAGGAGAAGGAAGTATGTGGTGTGAGGATGGAGCTGAGTTGGGCAGCGGCCCCAGGGAATTCAAGGCCACAGCAGAGGAGCTGGTCTGGAGGAGGAGA